AATACCTCTTGCCCCAGATGTTTGAAATATAGGAAAGAAGCTGAAGAACTCACACAAAACTAGAGTTTTCACTTGAGTAAGGCTGCAGAGAGCCTCCCAAAGAGCAGCTGCTGCTGTTGTCCTCCACCTTCCTGCACCTCCCACAAAGCCAAACAGAAATAATAGGCACAATAAGGAAGAGAAGAGCTTTACAGCAATCCCACCATGGGGGGGCAATGGAAATCCTCTTCCTGAACAAAGCCATTTCCTTCTGTTTGCTTTAAGCTGAGTGTTTATATAGCAGCATTACATTGCAGGGTGTGTGTGCTCCTGAAGGCTCAGCCTTTACATACCTATAAGAAAGTGGGTTTCCTTGTACTCCCAATAGCAGGTCAGTTGTGTTTGATGCCTTCAGAGAGAAATAACCTTTTAAGAAACTAAAAAAAAAGATGTTAGTGGTAACAGGATTGATGAGGAGATGCCATTTACATCATCATATTTTCTAGTTAACGACTAGAACCTTTTGAGGACACAATTTGGGAAGTATTTTTGGTTCAAGCACCAACTTGCTAGGTAATATTTTCCTTTTTTTCCCCTCCAACATTTGGAGTGTCACTTTTAGTCTATTTTCCAGATTGTTTACATAGAAATTATCACAGGTATTGACATTTTTCATCTCCTCCAGTGCTGGGTTTATTACTCTAGGTGTGACTGCAGCTTGGCACCTCACATTTGCAGGTTAACAACTGATTAAATTGACAGGACAACTAAGGCTTTGCTGCCATTTGAGCCTAAACTTCTCAGTTGTGCCAACAGCACACACAGGTATTGGTTAGAATCAAAGAATCACACAATCATCAAGGCTGGAGTAGACCACTAAGATCATCAAGTCCAACCATTAACCTGTCATTGCTGGAACCCCTAAACCATATCCTCCAGTGCCAGATCCAGACACCTCTCAAACACTTCCAGGGATGGTGACTCCACCGCCACTCTGGGCAATATTCCAGTGCCTGAACACCCTAACAGAGAAAACATTTCTCCTAACATCCAATCCAACTCTTCCGTGTCTCAGCTCAACGCCATTCCCTCTAGGCCTCTCCCTGCAGCCATGGCAAGAGAAACCATCCCCCACCTCTCTCCAACCCTGTCAGAGAGTTGCAGAGACCCATGAGGTCACCCCTAAGCCTCTTCTCCAGGCTAACAAAACCCTTGTGCAGCACCAGTCTGAGTGTGCCAAAACTGGGACAATCCTCCCAGATGAATTACTACACCTCAGGACAGAGACATGGACAAGTGGCCACATGCCAAGCTGAGCACTGGGAATTAAAGCAAAACCAGCTAATTTTCAAATGAAATATTACTGAATTGTAAGAACTCTCTCATAATCACAAAAAACACGGTGAGGTTGACAAGGTGATGAGCAGAAAAGCAGCCAATTTGAATCCATAAGCAGTTCCCAAAGCATATTCATTTTCTAGGGCCATTTCACTGCATAAACACTGAGAACTGTAACCTTGAGAGAAGGAGACACATAAATCAGGCCCCAGTTAGGATAAACACCAATGCCTGGAAGTTATTCCTTCTTCCCTCTAAAAATGTACGTGGTGAAAGATCAAAAAGGAGTTTCTTCTGCCTGTGTGATCAGCACATCCTTGGTTATTGAGCCTAAATGGGGAGCAGATAATGCTCCGGAGGTGTTTTGGTTCACATCACTGCAGTGCCAGACCAGCCAAATCCCAGCAAATTCCAAAAGATAAGAAAATAAGGAAGAAATAGGCAGATGTAGGAAAAAAAGAACAGAGATACTAATAAGGGAGAAGAGTGAGTATAGGGAATGAAGGGAAAAGGAAAGATGAAACCAGCTATGTTCAGAGAATGACTAGATGTGGCACTCAGTGCTCTGGTCTAGTTGATAAGGTGGTGATGGGTCACAGGTTGGACTTGATGATCTTAGACATCTTTTCCAACCTGGAAATTCAGTAATACTGTGAAAATGATCAACATCCAACACTGCGTCCAAAGCAGTGCTTTCCTCTCCCAGGGCAGAAATTGGCCCCTACCCAAGCTGATTTAATCATTTACTCCTAAAATATCAAACTGTGGTTATATCAGCGTGTTACTGATATCCTACCACAAACTGGGAATCAAAACTGGGAAGTCAGTATCAAACCTGGACTCCTACAGTACAGATCCTCTGCTCCTACAGCCCCAGCAAGCCACCCACATGCAGCCCTGCTGCAAGCTTGTTGCAGTCAAGGGGCTCAAGGCAGTTGAAATGCCCAATGTTCTGGTAAAATAATCTTCTTCATATCTCAGGAAGCTGAAAATTCAATGTACTATTAGTGTTTGTTGGCTGATAGAGAAGGTTTGATGCCTGTAACATTCCTGAGGTCCTCCAAAGTCTGGATCCAAGCTGGTCCCATGACTCCATGAACAAGAGCTGAAATGAAACAAGCTCCTCTCACTCTCTGTCCTTACACACAGCAAGGAAAATTCAGCCTTGGTCCAAAGCATGATCAGCTTAGTCCTTAATATATTTATTCCTTAGAGTAAGGAGTCTCTTGCCTGAATTCGAGGAGCCCAAATGATGAAAACATCTCCAGGCAACTGCTCTGGAAGCTCCCAGGCTGTAAGGCTCTGATTCACAGCAAAAATTGACTCTGAGAGTCCTCACTTGTCATCATCACTGCCTGCTCCACCCTTATTTCAGCAGTTGCTACATCAGGACAGGTAAGAGCTGATAAACTCTGCTGATTCTGGTATTTCAGCACAGTCAGTTGTTCCCAGGATAACCGAGGCCTCCCTTGCACTAGAATAACAAGCTCTGAGCT